AAGTGGGCGAGGTGGAGCATATAACAAAATTTCCACTGCAATAGACAACTAAAAATTAACAATCTGTAAGTCAAGTGGAAAATCAACCTGACATCTAGATGAACGAGCTTCTTTATTAACGAAACCAAGTTTTTCTTTTGCATCCTGTTTACTCAAATAACACATTGTGGCACTATTAGTATTAATCAGTACTTTTAAAACTTAAACAATCCATGAACCACAAAATGAGATCAGTTAAGGTTTCAAGGTCAAATGAGTTTAATTGGACATTTGTAACATACTAATAGAATCTACAATGTATGAAATATAACAGGTAAAATCATGAGGAAAAAAATTAATATTTAACATGAATAACTAATTTGATTCATGACATATACAATAAATCAAAACAGAATTAAGTACATTGAATATATCTTAAAATGCACAAATAATTAAAGATAGTTAACTACATTGTCCACTAAATAAATAATTTAAATATAAATCTGAATACGAAAAAATGTCATCATTAAAGAGAAACAAATAGTCCCAACTCGTACAGGCATTCAGCACACAAGATTGAGTGCACTTGAATAGAATATATCTCAGTTCAGTTCCATGATTTGGAGAAAACATACATTCATTTTCCCGAGTTAATATATCAAATTATTGTACAAGAATCATTCAGAACAATTGGCTTAGCAGTGGCATGCCGGATCTGTCACTGGAAAAGCCTAGGTTCAACTCTGTCAAATCATTCAAATGCAATGTATAAAGAAAAAAATGAGCTACTAAGAGCATTTCCAATGGTGGTTTCTTAATAAATTTCTTAACTTGAAGAATGAAATCTTCTCCGGGCAAGAGGTGTTCCTTTAAAATAAGATGTGCATCTTATATGAGGAAATGGGTTCTTAACATTAAAAATTGATTATCTAGTATCAACAAACATTAAAAAATACACAATTGTGAGTTGTTAGGAGAAAAATTAGGTATAAGTTACTAAGCAATGGGATACCACAAATCATGCATTTTAATGTATGAAACAACTCATATTACTGGAGATGCTCTCAGAGAATAAAAGCACTAAAACATTTCTATCAATTCTGTGTTAGAAGGGTGAGCCTCCAAGCTGTAAAAGCATCCTTTCTAAGGTCATCCCCTTCTGTTTGTAATCAAACTAGCTTCCATCTGATTATTTTTTTTCAATGAAGCCTCGGAGGGTCTTCTTCTCACATGTCCAAGCCACTTTTAGTCTTCTTCTCCAATTGGATGGAGAATAAAATGAAATAAAAGAGAGGAGAATAAACTATCCTCATATACATGTTACTAGCAAAAACAAACAATTAAGTCATATCCCACTCGGCCCAGTCAGGTCTATAGTCACAGGCAACACCATTGAACTCAAATACACATTTTACAATGGCCAAAAAAGAAGAAAAAACAGAAAAAAAAAAAGAAATATATATATATATATATATTATTTGCATCTGTGAAGTATACAACATCGTTTAATAGATATACAAGGCTAAATATTAAACAACAATTGTACCAATAGATGTTAGAAGAATTGAAGTCCTGACCTTTCCTCCCAGATATTAAAGAGTTGTTGAGACCTTCTCCTGCTGACTTTGTTATCATTACAACTGGGATTGAAATGTTTGCCTCACTGCTATTGGAGCAAACCATCTCAAAGAGATCTGGAAAAAATAATAGTTAGATATTACACTAAATACGATCATATAAAGCTTTATCGACTGGAGCAGAAAAAAGAAAAGTGTGCAACTCATTAATTGCAACCAAAGCAATGATTCAATAAGTAAATTGTACGCTAAAACATTTAGTAGATATTCAAAGATGAGAGCAGTAGTGTGAAAAAGGCCGTGTCACTTTGTCCATGCTTATGTCACTTGTTTTACTACTTAGTACTCATTTCATATTTCCATTATGTATTAAATGCATTCAAGAATTGTCTGCATCTTCATATAAGTGAATATGCTTTAGTATAAAAAATAACATTTGCAACTCACTTTACCAATGATTGAAAATGAGTATCGAAGTCTCATAGTGTGTGAAGCACTAAAACAAACCTTCTGCGTCATTTATTACCAACATGCCAGTAGCACCTCCAGCCTGCGCAAATTCAGCTTTGACTGTAAAGTCACAACCCCCACGTATACAGAGAGCAACTGATCCAGACAACTGTAAAAAGAGGAATGCATAACTCACTGGGTATGTTTCTTGAGAAAAACAATATACCTCATTAACTATCAGCTATTGGAGGATAAAAATAGAATGACAAAAAACAGTTTGAAACACGAAGACAGAACATGGATGAGGTCTCTTATTAGTTAGAGAGTTTATCAAGAATGTTTCTAAAATCGGCACGTAGCAAGGGCATAAATGTATTAGATCGTAGGTGCAGAGAAGCAGGGTGGAAGAGGAAGAAAAGAACCTTTGAACTTGAATTGGAACAGCAGTCTACAGGATTAGAGAAAATTGCAGGAGTTCTGACACTGTTTTCAGGTTTCTCAGGCAAAAGAGAGCCAAATCTGGCAGTGACGCCATTATAAATACGTCCTTCCACACCATCAATCCAATTCTCCACCTTCACCTGCAGGCAGGCAGGCAGCCAGTCAATAAAGAAAATCACATAAAATTGTGATGGATTTTGGAAGCGACTCGCAGGAGTAAAAGAGAAGAAAAAAAAAAGGAGATCGAACGGAAGTAAGAAAAGAATAATTGATGGAAAGAGAATACCAATTGGAAGGGGTTATTGCAGGATTGGGACTTGGGAGCCCTCTGGTCGTCGCGTTTGGCATCGTTATCGGCGGCGGCGGCGGCGGCGGTGGCGGTGGCGGTGGCAATGAAAAACAGCAGTAACAGCAACACAGGGAAGCCAGGAGGCGACATCGTTTTGGTTTGCATTGGCAGCAGACAAAGACTTGTAAGGCAACAAGGCAAGTCACAGAGTCCTCGAGGCTCTCTTCACTGCATCCCTGCAATCCAAAGCCGATTATAACAACTACTGTTCCATTTTTTTCTTGCCTTTTTAATTAATTATTAAATTAAACTAGACGACGCCGTTTCCCAACCGTCACCAAAACTTTGCAATTCCCATCCTACGGCTACCATTTATTTCAGTTTTATTCAATACGGCCAACCACACGCAACTTTCCTACTCCTTCCTTTTATCGTCTCATTTCCCACGTCATCTTCTATCTTAGGTTCCCATTGTTTCAAGAATAATAATCATTTATTATTTTATAAAATTGTTAACAAGATGATTATTCCTTTGAAATGAACCCAATTACAACCATAGATGAAGCGAAGATGGATTGAATAGAACAGAGAGAAACAAACGGACATGTTTTAGGTGTCTTAAAAAACTAAAATAATTTTATTAAAGCAATAAATAATAATAATAATTTGAATTTTATATAAAAAAAGGAAAGGAGTGGGACAAGAAGGGCAATGAATGCAGGAGAGTAGAGTAACGGAGCTTGTTGATGCCAGGTTGTGTGGAGTATCATCACAGCGAAGCAGACAGTCTCAGAAACTAAACCTTTTCTTTTTTTTTCTCTCTCTCTCTCTGAGTTGGAGTTGGAGTTGGAGGAGGGTCGGAGAAGGAGGACTGGGAATAGAGTTTGAAAATGTGGGGTTCAGATGACGAGGGGGGAGAAGAGTACCTCTTCAAGATCGTCATAATCGGAGACTCAGCGGTCGGAAAATCCAACCTCCTTTCCCGCTATGCTCGCAACGAGTTCAATATGCACTCCAAGGCCACCATAGGCGTCGAGTTCCAGACTCAGTGCTTGGAGATCGACTCCAAGGAAGTCAAGGCTCAGATTTGGGACACCGCCGGCCAAGAGCGATTCCGCGCCGTTACCTCCGCCTACTACCGCGGCGCTGTCGGCGCTCTCATTGTCTACGACATCTCCCGCCGAACCACCTTCGACAGCGTGGGGCGCTGGCTCGACGAGCTTAAAAGTACTTTCTCTCTCTCTCTTTCTCTCCCTTCTATTGCCAGATCTGATCTTCTTCCCCTTCGCCGATCCGATTCTCTTCTTGTGCACTCCTACGCTATTTTATTTATACGTGTCTTCTGCTGTCTACTTTTCTCTGTAATCACCTTTTTCACAGGCTAACCTAGAACCACCTTTCAATTTATCGATTCTCTCGTGCCTGCTGGTTGCAACTTCTCTTGTAGTTTCGTCTCACTCTCTCTACTTCTTCATAAAGATTCAAAGAGATCGATCATAAAAGTAAAAAGTCCTAATTAGAGAATAGATGTGGCATCTTCGCAAGTACAGCTATTTAGTTAGATAAATACAAACATTCATAGAGAGAGAGAGAGAGAGAGAGAGAGAGAGAGAGAGAGAGAGCAAATGAGTAATTTAGTTTAGTGTAAAAAAATAAGTTGTGTTTTGTAAGGAAAGGCCATTCATGGATGCTAACGAAGCTGTGTTATTGTATGGTGTAATCTGATGCAGCTCATTGCGATACGACGGTGGCCATGATGCTGGTGGGAAACAAATGTGATTTGGAGAATATAAGGGCGGTGAGCGTTGAGGAAGGGAAAAGCCTTGCGGAAGCGGAAGGATTGTTTTTCATGGAAACGTCTGCGTTGGACTCTACCAACGTGAAGACGGCATTCGAGATGGTTATTCGAGAGATATACAACAACGTCAGCAGGAAGGTCCTCAACTCCGATACATACAAGGCAGAGTTGTCGGTGAACAGGGTCAGCCTCGTCAACAATGGCCCTGCTGCATCAAAGCAAAATCAGACCTATTTTTCTTGCTGTTCCAGATGATCTGCAATGCACCACATACAACTCAGCTTTGTCACTTCACCTCAATTTCTTTTAGTTGCTTTATTAATTAAATGGGTTGGTTGGATTGGGTTGCATTTTTCCTTGGTCGCTAGCTATGATTTCAAAGCTTGTTCATCTGTTACAACTATAAGACAGTCAGACAGACAGAAATATAGTAGCCAAAATGTTGTCTTCAATTTTAAGAAAACCAAAACGGGTATAATTGTATAATCGGGGGTAAAAGTAAAAGAGCTTGTAATTTGATTTGCAGCAAATGAAAGCGGACATCCATTTATTTGTCGTCTGCGTGATTATTGGTAATGGTTTCCTTCTCCCTTTTCTTTTGTCTTTTTGAGTCCTCGTGTTATCTGATCTAACGATTCTTGCTCCCGGGGAATCGTTCACCTGTTTCCTTATGCATTTGGGTCACAGGTTGTTCTTCCCGCCGGTTAGCTGAGCTGAACTGGGAGTCGTTAGTTTTCGTTTAAATCGGTATGATTTACGACTGCTTTGTCTTTCTTATTTGACTGGTGTTTAGCACTTGGGTTAGTTTAGAACACCAGAGCTTCCCTTTTCAGCTGATTTGTCTGGTGAATGGCAAATTGGCAATAAAAGCAAGCAACTTGTAAAGGTAATCTTAAATTCATACCATTCTGCGTAGACATGTTTTGTCTCTTAAGTTAAATGAATCACGCATGTATTGGGAGGTTGGATTTAGTCAAGTGATGTACCTGGAAGTTTGTTTCCTTCAGTTCATCAGTTTCTTCTGAATTGACGAATATAATCTATGACTAGTGATTTATATGCCCATAAAAAGAGAATGCATCTATATGGACTCAACCACACGTTTAAAGCTTATGCCTGCAGCTTAATTCGTTATACTTTGATGTAAAAAAGATGGTTCATCCATCTCTTGACTTGACATATTGAAAATTATATCAACTAGTAATGTTGTATATTCGATTCAAGAGTAGTCGTCGTCCTTTGAAATTTATAATTTATAATTATTTAATACATGTACGTTTATAATTTATATTTGTTTAATACATGTACGTTTAGATAATTAGGTTTGAGAGTCAACTGCATAGCTAATCTCACCGGAATTGATGAATTATTATTGACTAAATGGTCAAATTTGATTACCAATTTTTCTGCTAATGATTAAAATCTTATTTTATTATATATTCTCCCAAAATATTTGAAGGCTCTAGAGAACTAAAGTAAAGATATTCATTCGGTTCACTTTTTTAAACAAATAGTTTTATTTTAGAAGAAAAAGATTCATGAATTATCATTTGAGATAGTAAAACTAGCACACATACAAGCGGTTTAACCCGTGTTAATGAGAACTTTAAGAGTGGTGATACATTCTCTTTAATCAAAATCCCAATACCACCAATACATGTGCGCTTTGTTTATTATTGTTTAGTTTTTTTTTTCTTTTTCGTTAGGCTTAATATTTAATCAAAGTGGTTTTCGATTTTTTCTAGTGCGCAAAATTATTTCAATTTTTGTTATTTTTGTTCGATTTTGTGACAACGGCTAAATCATTGGTATTTGAATGTGGTCATATCATCATCTTCAACATCTCATTATCCAAAATCCTAGGCACCATCAGAACAATCTTCAACCTCGCAAATCAATAAGCAGCCACTAGAACTTGTTTGTCTTCATCGAACAATTACATGTAACCTACATCTGAAAACTCAAACCTAGGTTTGTTCGAACCTTTTGCACCAGAGAATGTGAAATTATGTTAACCACCGTGACAACCATCGTAGTAGTTCGATAACACCACGAAATCCCAAATTGCGAATCTTAAATCACGATATCTCTCCACCTATTCGAACCTTCCATCTTCCTCAACCACCACATAAAACCTACAAAGAAACCTAGACTAGAAACCAACAATCATCTCAAAGCATAAAACCCAAATCATGAAACTCTCGTGTTCATCATACACCACGCAAACCTGTAGAGGAAAAAAAAGAATCAGTCCAAATCATAGAGCCATTTTCGTCCCAAAATCGCAAAACATTGCACCATTGCGATGAACCACGAGTTCATTCAAGCACCTTTTGCGTCTCCATCTTCGAACAACAACCTTCACCATAGCAAAATCCTAATTTTGGGTGGAATATGAAACTGCCACGTGACAGTCCCTCATTGGAAAAACTAATGACTCATGTGCACACTTGGTCCTTAACGATTTAGACGTCATCATACAAAAGGACTAAATTAAACAAAAATTACAAAAATTGATATCACTTTGAACGCTTGAAAAAGTTATAGACCACTTTAAATAAAACTGACAAAAATAGGAATCAAAATAAGTATTAAACCTTTTAATTACTTGTGGAATCACTAGATTTTCATTTGTTTTTTTAGTTACACGGAGTATTTCAAATTTAACCACCTTACTATGACAATATTAAGTGAGAAGTCAACTAATCCATCTCAAATTTTTATCAAAATATATCTCATTAATTAGATATGTATATGACAAGAATAACGTAATAAGTTATGATATTTTTTTCAACAAGCATAGTCACAATTAAAGTTTCAATAGAGGGATGACGAACTTTTACCAAGTTGAGAAGCAAATATTAGAAATAGAAAATCAAAGTTTCAATAAAGACAATTAAAGTTTCAATAGAGGGATGTCGAACTTTTACCAAGTTGAGAAGCAAATATTAGAAATAGAAAATCAAAGTTTCAATAAAGACGTGACGAAATTTTATTAAGTTGAAGAACAAATATTAAAAATAGAAAAGTATATATAGAACCAAAATTAAACAAAATATGAGTATCTCAAGAATAAATAGTTGTATATTTGTTATCATTAAATTGAATGATTATATTTATCTATTTTTTAAATTTGGAAACTAAAGTATATCATAAAGTATAACAAAGTTTAGTATAGAAAAGATTTTAATTCTAAAATTTTACATTCAAAATTACAAACTACGTATTTAAATTTTTATAAAAATATATCTAATACCACAATTTTGTAAATTTTGATATAAGTGGTAAACTTTAATGGTTGGTTCGAAGTCGCATTTATTTATTTTTCAAATGTAATTTTTATAGACCATACATGAAAAGTTGCCACTCAACAATGTGGCCTCGACAGCATGCCACAGTTGGGATGAAGTGAGGATGAATCTAATTAGAAAATCCTAAAATTGGGAGATGGTGGAGTGGAGAGGACCTTAACACAATCGTCAACCCAATAAGCAATACCACCCCACCCATCTCTGTCACACTCCCCAACCATTACCTAAACCTTTTTCATCCCTCAAATTCTCAAGCAAAACCTTTTCAAAAGTCATATTTTATTAATCATACCTCTTGCTTTGAAATCCAATTTTGGTAAATCAATGAAAACTCCACAGCACTTCATTATTTTATAAGAGATGAACCTAAAAGGATAGATGTTGTAAAATCTCAACTACCACAAATATTGATAGATATCAAGAAAGAAAGTCATACAGTGAAAAGGAGGGGGGGGAAAGGAAGATAAGCTGATAACCATCATGACTTCAACAGCACTTTTAATGTTCTAGAATGTTTTGGTACATAGAAATGAAAAAAAGATAGAATAAGCAATATTTGTTTGCATTCAGCTCCTACTACTTTGATAGCTACGGCTGTGAGTGACACATGAAATGAAAAGGATAGGGAAGGAAAACAGACTGCCTTCTTTATTTGATCTATATAAATACACATCACTTTGATTTCACTATCAGATTGAGACTGACACTGATAGATTTTTCTGAATATCAGTACTATTGAGACCTCCAATACTTCCTCATCTCAAAACCATTCCTCCCATATTGGTAGTCTTCAAGGGTTTTCTCAATCTCAGACTGTGTGTTCATCACAAAAGGCCCATACTGAGCCACTGGCTCGTTCAGTGGTTGTCCTCCTATCACAACAAACCTCAGAGGCTTTGAAGAGTTGTTCCATACGCTAAGGCCATCACCTAGACTAAGAACAAGCACATGGTGTGCCACACATGGGGATGAACTCGTACCCCCGAAAACCCCTTCTCCTTCAATCACATAAACAAAGCAATTCCATGACTCTGGAATGCTCTGATGCCACTCACTTCCTGGCATCATGGAGAAAACAAGAAACATGGTTGGAGTTCGTGTGTACACGGGGGATTGCACTCCCATTGATTCTCCTGCTATCACTCTCACTTCAACCCCATCTCTTTCTGCTGTTGGAATGCTCTCACTCGGAAGTTCTTGGTAGTTGGGCTCGATCCTGAATCAAAATCAAACGTCAGAGAGGTTAAAAATGGTTCAAAACTTGGTAAAATTAATTGATTTAACCAGTTATATCATAGGGCAGGGATACGTTACATTTTGTCTCTGGAGGATAAATTGATCCATAATTGCAATCCCTTGTTGTTTGCTTCTGCGGGCATTTCGGAGTGAATTATTCCCCTACCTGCAGTCATCCACTGCACACACAAGCAAATATACATAATTTGTAATTTCTAACAAACCAAATAATCATCTCCTTTCAGTAACACCATCATTAACCATACCTGAACATCACCAGCTCTGATTGTACCCTTGTGGCCAGCAAAATCTTGGTGAGTAATACCTCCCTGAAATCCAAAAACAAAAAGCATGTTACATAGGCTTTGGCCAAAACTCGAATTTAATTCAAGGATAAATAAATGCAACTAACTATACCTCTAACATGTAGGTGACAGTTTCAAAACCTCTGTGTGGGTGATCGGGAAATCCAGCCGGAGGTGAGACTGCAAAGTCAAAGACGTAAGGTGATGTTAAAATTGTAGTAATGTAATGCAATGTAATGTTGGGTAACATTGACAACAGATAGAGGACAAAGGGAGGTCAACCAAAGCAAGCTTCATCGAAAAAGGTTTCACACGAAGCCAGATAAAATAACTGTATTGTATGTACCTGAGAAATGATCCAACATGAGGAAGGGATCCAAGTTCTTCAACTCGGTCCTGATAGAAAAAAAAAAATAGAAAATGAAAAAGGAGTTTTGGAATAGAAGAAAGGTGATTGATGAAATGCCGAAGAGAATATTATACCTTCCGATGCCTCTTCTAACAACAGCTCCGTCACCTTCGTGTTGAGATTTGGCGAGAACCTTCTTGAGGACCAATCTGGGTGTGTTGAAAGCGGAGGAATGGAGAGAGTGTGACATGGCGGAAGCAATCGAGAAGCGAAAGGTGGCGAAGAAGGGAAGAGCGTGTGAGAATTGTGAACATGGTTTTGATATATTTATATATATAGACATTGGATTGGATTGAGGGAGGAATGAAGAATGTGGAAAGAGAAGAGAAGTCGTTGGCGCAGAAAAGAGAAAGATGGCTTAGTTGGGTGTGACCGACTGACATTTGGGAAATAGAGGGTGGGATCCACCTTCCAGCAATCATAACATAGACATAAACAAAAACATAAACAAAAAAACATGACATCAATCCCTTGTCATCGTGATGATTGTCTCCTTCTCACCTCCTATGTACTACTATGTAATGTAATTTCTTCTCTCATACANCCAAATAATCATCTCCTTTCAGTAACACCATCATTAACCATACCTGAACATCACCAGCTCTGATTGTACCCTTGTGGCCAGCAAAATCTTGGTGAGTAATACCTCCCTGAAATCCAAAAACAAAAAGCATGTTACATAGGCTTTGGCCAAAACTCGAATTTAATTCAAGGATAAATAAATGCAACTAACTATACCTCTAACATGTAGGTGACAGTTTCAAAACCTCTGTGTGGGTGATCGGGAAATCCAGCCGGAGGTGAGACTGCAAAGTCAAAGACGTAAGGTGATGTTAAAATTGTAGTAATGTAATGCAATGTAATGTTGGGTAACATTGACAACAGATAGAGGACAAAGGGAGGTCAACCAAAGCAAGCTTCATCGAAAAAGGTTTCACACGAAGCCAGATAAAATAACTGTATTGTATGTACCTGAGAAATGATCCAACATGAGGAAGGGATCCAAGTTCTTCAACTCGGTCCTGATAGAAAAAAAAATAGAAAATGAAAAAGGAGTTTTGGAATAGAAGAAAGGTGATTGATGAAACGCCGAAGAGAATATTATACCTTCCGATGCCTCTTCTAACAACAGCTCCGTCACCTTCGTGTTGAGATTTGGCGAGAACCTTCTTGAGGACCAATCTGGGTGTGTTGAAAGCGGAGGAATGGAGAGAGTGTGACATGGCGGAAGCAATCGAGAAGCGAAAGGTGGCGAAGAAGGGAAGAGCGTGTGAGAATTGTGAACATGGTTTTGATATATTTATATATATAGACATTGGATTGGATTGAGGGAGGAATGAAGAATGTGGAAAGAGAAGAGAAGTCGTTGGCGCAGAAAAGAGAAAGATGGCTTAGTTGGGTGTGACCGACTGACATTTGGGAAATAGAGGGTGGGATCCACCTTCCAGCAATCATAACATAGACATAAACAAAAACATAAACAAAAAAACATGACATCAATCCCTTGTCATCGTGATGATTGTCTCCTTCTCACCTCCTATGTACTACTATGTAATGTAATTTCTTCTCTCATACATTATATTATACCACCTTTATTTTACCAACCTCGTCAATCTACTCATGTATTATTTCTTAATCACAAAAATTACACAAAGTTGTCATTTTTAAAAATAATAAATTGAAAGTAAAAGTGACTAAAATCACTATTAGAAAAGAGGAAATTCAGTTGCTGTATGTTAATTTCTAGGGCAATAAATCAACTTCTCACAAAGTTAAGAATCGAATTGCTGTTTACAGTGCACTTTCTGCTTTGCTTTACAAATTCATGCTATTAGTCTTCGAAGAACTTTTTTAGAGTCTCCTAATTTACAAAAATGAAGCAAATTTTGTCTCGGGGTAGAAAATTCATGGCTTTCCCTGGATTGGGAGAAGATTTTCCAAATATAAAAGATAAGAGAGAGTAAATTCATGTGTGAATGGGAAAACTCTTAAAGAAAAATCACAATTATATATAAACAATTATAATAAAATATTATTGTCTTGTAGTAAAGTTATTCTTTATATTAGATTTACTTTAATAACTGAAACCAGAACAAATTGAATCGATTCGCTCAATTTCATTCATGTATTAGTTCTAATCATCTTTTTTAGATCATTGATTATAAGGTGTATCCACATGTAAAATTTATAAATGTTATATATAATACTAAATCACACCAATGATATAAATATTTTGTAAATCTTTAATTAACTAATTAACATGTCTAATTAAATAAATTAGAATAATTATTACATATATATATATATATATATATATATATATATTAAATTAATTTATTATAATTAATAATTAAAAGTTAAATTATAAATATTAATTATTTTAAAAATGTAATATTCTATATATTTAAAATTCTTTAAATAATAAAAATAAAAAAAATAATTTTATTTTAATTATTAATTAAAAGACAACGACCAGACTGACTAGCATATTGAAAATATGAACTCTTTCCATCAAAATTAATAGCATAGCAGCCTGGCGAAATCGACCACTTTCAGAGTCGAATACATAAAATATAATAAAACTATCATTTGACTTTTGTTTTTTCATCACATGCCTATGGGAAATAAAGAAATCTGAATTATGTTGTTCTTGCTGAAGAATTAACAAAAAGAACAACTTCAAATGGTATTTATTTGTGAGGATAACATGACGTTGTGTTGTCGAAACGACGTCGAGCCAAAAAAGAGAGAGTATATTTTGAAGTGTACCGTTATTGACCCAGCAATTCTTCATAAATTGCGTACCGTCCACCGTAGCAGTGCATGACAACTAGCTGACAACCACTGTGATGTATTATAAATTGGAGTTATTTTCGGCTCTCCTAGTTGGGCTTTCTATCTTTTCAAGTGTTTTTCTTCCTACACCTCCAAAATCGCTATCTGCAATTCTATAACTTCTAAGTTACCCATTTCATCCTTAGCATTGTATTTGAAAGCTGCTCCTTCTTTCACAGTTTTTCTCTATCGTGTTCACCGATAATTTTCCCTGTGAGGTTCAAAATTTTGCCGTTGTTGTGGCAATGCTGCGGAGGCAGGGTGGCGTTGGGTGCAGTGGCGGACAGCGGCATTTACTCTGGGTGCAGATAGCAATTATGGGGTGAATGAAGCAAAACCCTCCAAGTAAGCATATACAATTCATTACTGGGCTTTTCTACTCTTTTCAAGTTTTCAGCAACTTCACATCCTTCTTTTCCAAAATCAAATTGTTTTGACAAACCTGTCCTTGATCCAAAACGTGTTTCAATCTCCCTATACCTCTAAAGTTTTCTTCTTGCACCTCCAATTTTCTTCAAAATGTCAAAACTTTTCTGCCGTAAAACTTTTTATTTCGAAAATTAGATTTTGAAAATCACTTCGGCCTTCCTCAAATTTCAAAATTCAATTTTATCTTTGTCGAATTTTAAAACTGATTTAAATGAAATTAGATTTTGAAGTTTGATGAAAACAAAATTTGTTTCCAAAATTCGATAAAAATAAAATTAGTTTTCAAAATTTGACGAAAATATTAATTTTTGAAATTTAATAAAAGTTTTAATAGATTTCAAAATTTAATTAAATTTTTAACGAATTTCATTCANATTAATAGCATAGCAGCCTGGCGAAATCGACCACTTTCAGAGTCGAATACATAAAATATAATAAAACTATCATTTGACTTTTGTTTTTTCATCACATGCCTATGGGAAATAAAGAAATCTGAATTATGTTGTTCTTGCTGAAGAATTAACAAAAAGAACAACTTCAAATGGTATTTATTTGTGAGGATAACATGACGTTGTGTTGTCGAAACGACGTCGAGCCAAAAAAGAGAGAGTATATTTTGAAGTGTACCGTTATTGACCCAGCAATTCTTCATAAATTGCGTACCGTCCACCGTAGCAGTGCATGACAACTAGCTGACAACCACTGTGATGTATTATAAATTGGAGTTATTTTCGGCTCTCCTAGTTGGGCTTTCTATCTTTTCAAGTGTTTTTCTTCCTACACCTCCAAAATCGCTATCTGCAATTCTATAACTTCTAAGTTACCCATTTCATCCTTAGCATTGTATTTGAAAGCTGCTCCTTCTTTCACAGTTTTTCTCTATCGTGTTCACCGATAATTTTCCCTGTGAGGTTCAAAATTTTGCCGTTGTTGTGGCAATGCTGCGGAGGCAGGGTGGCGTTGGGTGCAGTGGCGGACAGCGGCATTTACTCTGGGTGCAGATAGCAATTATGGGGTGAATGAAGCAAAACCCTCCAAGTAAGCATATACAATTCATTACTGGGCTTTTCTACTCTTTTCAAGTTTTCAGCAACTTCACATCCTTCTTTTCCAAAATCAAATTGTTTTGACAAACCTGTCCTTGATCCAAAACGTGTTTCAATCTCCCTATACCTCTAAAGTTTTCTTCTTGCACCTCCAATTTTCTTCAAAATGTCAAAACTTTTCTGCCGTAAAACTTTTTATTTCGAAAATTAGATTTTGAAAATCACTTCGGCCTTCCTCAAATTTCAAAATTCAATTTTATCTTTGTCGAATTTTAAAACTGATTTAAATGAAATTAGATTTTGAAGTTTGATGAAAACAAAATTTGTTTCCAAAATTCGATAAAAATAAAATTAGTTTTCAAAATTTGACGAAAATATTAATTTTTGAAATTTAATAAAAGTTTTAATAGATTTCAAAATTTAATTAAATTTTTAACGAATTTCATTCAATTATATTTTTCATCAAATTTAAAATTTGATAAAAATCCAATCGAATTTCAAAATCTTTTAAGTGTTTTTTCGCAACCATAATTATTTATCGACTTCAATGAATGAAGATATTTCCGGTTAGGATAATGATATTTTGAGAAAAAAAATTGATAACATTTTAACATTATCTACGTATTATTTTGTGATTGGTCCAAAATTACTCTATAGTCAATAATAATAATCATAAACACAATATGAACCAATCATAGAATGACATGTAAATTGTGTTAAATGTTATCAAAAAATATTGTTAAAGTATCATTATCCATTCAATTACTTAAAATGCAAAGAAAAAGCTTGGATATAGGGAGAAAAGGGGGATGCATCAAATTATTTATTGGCCTTGTGACATAAAATGTTGCAGTTCATGCATGATTTTTGCATTAAATGAATAATAACATAAATTTATCACTGTGGAGGTTTGGCCCATGGTTCCTTATTTTTCTCTTTACCACACGTCTCAGGCAGAGATAATTATGAAGATCAATGAATTTGTTACGTTTAAAACCTATTATTTATACAGACGTTACTGTCACTGTATTTATGTGCACCTATGATTTTGGTCTTTTGATAAATATATTGTTTCTTATATATTCAAAGAAACTTCAATTTTTCAAAACTAACAATATCGTAAATATACAGTAACAAAATAAGGAACAATAATGAAAAATAATAATACTCACACTTGAAAGCGAATGAACCTGTGTCTGTTCATGAATTAGATTGCTTCTTTAACTCTCTTTCTTTTTTTGTTGCAATGGACTACATTAACTGTCACTCTCAAATTTTTTATATTAAATTTATGAATGACATTATCTCATACTTTTCTTCCTTCCATAGATTGGATAAGGATAATCACTCGTTTAGATAACTAAATACTTGAGATTAAAAAAGCTAAATACTTCACAGAAAAACAAATGTATTGTAAGATGTACCTGTAAAATTAAATGTTATCTATATTATTATATCATAATAATAATAAAGTGTTTGATAACAATAATGATTATTTAAAATAATATAAACTTTTGGTAGTTTGTGAAAGTGTGAGACAAAATAAATAAAATTATATCTGAAATCAAATTTTGTACGATATTTTTAAAGATAATAATACATTTCACAACATTCTTTTTTACAAAAATTTAATATAATATGTGTGATTGATTCAAAATTAATTCATAATCTATAATAATAATTATAAATACTAACCGAATCAATCACGTAATGATTCGTTGTAAGAGTTATAAATTATGATAATTTATTAATATATTTTTATTTAAATATACTAGAATTCTATCTGAAAATATGTATGACATCCTTTTTAGCATGTGAAATGTTACCACATTTAGAAAACATTTCTTTAAGAGTTCGTCTTCATTTGTTAAAACATTTCTTAATTAATTTCAGTTTTTTCAGAATTGAAAATAGTATTATCAAAATTCATATACTCACTTTATTCAGATTTATTAAAATTTTATTTTCAATTATGTTATTATATATATATATATATATATATATATATATATATATATATTAACTAATCAAGTATGTTTTGAATTCCTGATCTACACTGTGAAGTAATTGAGATTATAATTAATTAATTTA